AAAAAAAAAAAAAAAAAAAAAAAGAGAAAGCCAAGAGCTGGAGGGTGCCTGGGGCCTAAAAAAGGCTGAGAAGCAGGGAACTGGGCATTTACTTTCAGGATAGTCTTTGGACACCAGAGGTCTCCAGTCTCTCCAGCATCCCCTCTAACACCACATGCCTCCACCACAGAGGAGAGCTCCAGCCAGGGCAGAGCCCAGCTTTGTGCCTCCTGGCTTATGCAAAACTCAGACTGTAGGAACAAAATGCTTAAGAGCAGGTTTCTTGAACAAGTGCTTTGTGGTGCAAGAAGTTAAGAAATGGGCTCCAGAGCAGGACCAATTTTGTTGCTTTCATTTTGAGAAAGCACCATTTAAAAAAAAAAGCCCAAATCACAAGATTTGAGTAGCAAATGTTATGACATTTAATTGCTGCAGTTTGACAGAGATGATGCACCTGGTTATCTTATGGTCCATCATTGCAAGTACTCCCACCCCAAGTACATTTCTTCCAAAGAGTAGCAGGTCTCTGCAAGAGTCCATCATCCGCTCCTCACTGCGTCTGTTCTCAGGTATCTCTGAAGAAAGAAGTTGTGGTCTCTGTATTGAGGCATGGGTTCAAACCCCACTGTTCACCTGAGGTGGGGCAGGGGAGATAAGACACCTGCAGCTATGGCATGGGTTGCAAGCTTGCTTGCCCCAAGGACTGTAGGGTCCAGTTTAGTACAGGCTCCAAGTACAGCTTGTATAATGGATGTAGAAGATGAGGGGATAGATGCATGCACCATTTCCTGTAGTTTTTCTGAAGTCTATATAAAGCACCACCCACGTAGACAGAAACACCAGATGTTCTTCTGCTACAGGTAGCTCTCTCTCTGGCCCACCCCCAGTTTCAGGAAGTGTAATGATCACAGGAAGCAGAACAAAAAAAAAGGAAAGGATCTTTGAGAGTAGCAGCTCTAGGCCACCCCCCCCCAATCATGATATTCAGCTATGAACAGACTAAACTAGTGCTTCCCAACTTCTTCAGGACCCCTCACACCCTTGCAGCTGAAATATTTTCACCATTAGTGGAGAGGTGAGAAGTTTGGTTCAGTTCCCCAATGCAAAAAAAGTTGAAACAGGACAAAAACCACATAAAGCTCTCTTTATGCTCATGTGCATGCATAAGACCATAGCTCATTTCCAGAAGCCATGTGGCTGTTGGGTAGGAGGTAGTTCCTCAGTTTAAGTGTGGGAAGTATAGTGCCTTTATTATAGGCACTACTCTCAGAAGACCTCTGGCTTGAACTGGATAGCTGCCCCTACTAGATTAAAAGGGGTGGGGGGAAAACCAAGAGACAAGGAACTAGTTTGTAACCCCCCCTTTTTTTCCCCCCCTTTCCTTTTTTACATAAGGGTGCATAGCTCAAGAGGAGAGCAAGGAGTTCATTCTTCAGGAAAGAAGTAATCCAGATGTTAAGAGTCCTCCTTAAGGCTGGTGGGACTGGCACAGGCAACACCTGCAAGACTAGTCTTCATTACACAGCCAAGCCAAAGTGGGATTTGCTTATCTGCAGCATTTACATAGCTAATGGACTGGGAAAGGAGGAATGCCTCCCTATCCCCAATGCTCACCTGCAGCCCTGGGGTGTTGTAGGAGTCTGTTTTCCAGTTTTAATGGGCATTGCCCCAGTTTCTGCAACTAGTTTAATGGGCAGATGCCATAAGGAGGTAGAGGATCTGCATTTCTGCAAATACCTACTCCCCTGCAGGATGGCAGCATCAGAATTACCCAGGCAAAGTGTGGGTTAGGGTCCTTTAGTGCCCCCCTTCCCTCAAAAAGGAGAACAAAACCAAAAGATACTGACAGCTGACAGGATTGAAATCCAGGGCATCTAGGTCTCAGATCAGGAACAGATCTAAATCCCCAGCACTAGTTGGGGTAGGGGGCAGGAACTGGACATCTAGATTGAGTGAGTACTCAAGAGGACAGTTCAGATTTGAACGACAGCCAAGCCAAAAAAAGCCAAATGAAGGCCATGCCATTCTGAGACTAGACTTTTAATTTCAATTTAAACCAGTTACACAGCAAAACAAATTTTACCTCCTCAGTGCAATTGGAGAAACCACAGAATAAAGAGTCTTTAGACAAGTGCTAGGAGAGGGTATGGTCTGTACAAAAAGGAAATGAGATATTTCACTAGGATGCAGAGTGCAGACATTGTGCAGCAGCTAACCATTACTGAAGTTATGCCTTCCCTTAGGAGGAGGCTGAAGAAAGTGTTCACCTGGTACCTGCACTTCAGTATTTTGAATGCCTTTAGCCAGCATCCTGGCACACAAGGAATTATTATTGTTATTATTAGCACCACTGCATCTCTAAAACACTTTTAGTAGTGAAGGAAGCCCTCAAAAGAGAGAGAGAGAGGGGCAACCCATGACATGGAGGAAACCAAAATGGGTTATTGTGCTTTCCATTGGTTGGGCATCCAGCCATTTGGTAGCCACCAGATTACAATAGTGCAATAGTCACCCATGAGAAAAAATACAAAAAGAGTGTTAACAACAAATAAGACACTTGGGTAGACTAAACAAGATACCATCTTGGGACCAATAGCAGAGTTACCTGCAGTTAGGGATAAATTCATGCTCACCCAGACTGTAGACTGTCCCCCATTGATCTGCTGGTGCAAAACAAGACAGACATACTTAAGCCAAGTATAGTTGTTTTAGTTCTCCATGGGACAAGTCAAATTTTTCCAACTAGGCTTAATTCTCCCTTCATGACTTCTTACTCAACTTGTAGCCATTTGTCTAGTCTACTGATGGTCTATCAACTAGCATAATGGCAATGTTGGAGGTTTCTTTTAAGAAGGGGACAGGTAAAAAGTTTGCCACTTGATCTGGTACAGAAGTTGTACATAACCTTTCAAGGATGCCTTCAAAAAAAAAAAAAAAAAAAAAAAAAAAAAAAAAAA